ACCCTGGATTATATGTGTCTAAGACAACGGTTCTAAAATGTATTTTTTCATAAGACGCACCTGAGACACCAGAAGTGTGGTCCGGGCCTATCAGAAATAATGCTCCGAGATGTGTGGGCATCAGCACGATATGCAGACACACCTGCAAAGCTGCTTCCCTGCCACTGGTCCCAGGAGTCAGTGTCCCTGGTCCTCCTTTTACCTCATCCCTCCACTGAGTCCATCTGTCCCGTTGGTTCCATTCCGAATGGTTCAGATGAACCCATTTCTGGATTGGTCAGGCTGCAGGCGGGCTAAGCTCCGGTAACAGAACCCACACAGGGCAGCTTAGAGAAGACACAAGTGATTTTGATCTCACGTTACAGTCTGGGATGGGCGATCCTTTACTGGCCCCGACCCTGCCGTCCTCAACAGAAGGCTTCCAGGATGTTTTGATTGCTGTCATATCCCAGCAGAGGTGGACATCGTTCCCACGGGCAAGACCTGCGAGGTGTGGACCCCAGTTGGGCTCACAGCCCACGGGGCAGACACAATCATGTTGCCCCATCCCCCTACCAGGGAGACTGAGGAATCAAGTGTCCAGCTGGGAGCCCATGGGCCAAAATGTCGGGGTGACTAGTCCCCTAAAAGGCAGAAGAAAGACCTGGAGAAAAGTGGCAATGCTGCCACAACTCCTGCCCTTTGTCCCTCCCTTGGACTGTGTGCAGCGGCTGAGGTGCTGGCGCCCCCTGGTGGCCACGGGGGCTGCTGCAGGACAGTGGTAACCGGACCCCAAGAGTCTGACCCCGAGACTTTCCTACTGAAGGGCTCACACTTGAGAAAAAATTACACAACAAAGTTTCCTCCACTATCGTTTAACACTGAACACGTGGAACAACATACAGGTCCATGAATATGTGAATTCTTCCATATCAAGAAACATCAATGGTATGGAACACTTGACAGCAGTGTGTGTGTGTGTCTATATCTGTCTCTATATCTATATCTCAACATGAAACAATTACTAGTAAGTGAAAGAAGCAAGTTCTTGAGCTATATATGATAAATGTCATGACATCCCACTTATGATAAAAAAAAATGATTATATATTAATATGCATGATATCCATTTAGTTCCAGAAGGAAAAACAACAAACTCAGCAGTTCCCACCGGAAAGGGGGTGTCAGGTTGTGAGTGGAAGAATGAGAGGGGAAGGGGTGAGGAGAAGGAATAATAAAGAGCAACTTTTGACTTTTGACTATATTTCTGTATTGAATGTTTTACAGTGACCGCATGGTTTCTAATTTAAAAATGCCCATCATATTTTCAAATTAAAAACATTAAGTTGTCACTCAGCATATTTAACCTAATCCTTTATATAATGATAAATGTTAAATACACAAAGAAATAAGAGAGGTCTGGATGGATGGCAGGACTCCACAAAGCCCATGAGACGGGTCAGCAAGGCTCCCACCTCCTGGGAATCATGGTGGTAATGGAATCCCAAACCCTGACGTCAAACACCAGCCTTCCAGGTTTCAAACCAGGAAGCACCATCTGGAACAGCCCGGTCAGCATCCCCCCACCCCACCCTCCTCCTCCCCAGTCCACACGATATTGGGAGGGAGGTGCCATCTGCCCCGAGTTTGCAGGTGAGGAAGTAGGGCCCAGAGGTGGCATGGTCAGTGGGGAGTCAGGCATGAAACCAGCCTGGCCCCCGAGTCCCAGCCCTGAAGCGTTTGCTTTGCTTCGACACCAGGGGTCGCCCTCAGACCAAGGAAAGGGCCCTCCCAGGCCAGGTTCGGTTGCCACGCTGACATGTGACACATGACATGACACGTGACTCGGCCTCACTGCACTCAGAGCCCTCAGGTCAGGAAGACTTGGTTCCCACCCCCGATTCCCCTGCTCAGGGTAGGGCCTGCGATGAGGTGCAGAAGACGGAGGAGTCCTACCTACCCTGACAACTCTGGAAAGGATTCACTTGCTCACAATGCAGCTGTGATCAGGAGTAGCCAAATTCACAGAGACAGAAAGTAGAATGGTGGCCGCCAGGAGCTGGAAGGAAGGGGGGTTAGGGAGTTACTGTTGAATGGTACAGAGCTTCATCTGGGGTGATGAAAAGCCCTGGAGGTCTGTTGAATGTACCTAAAATGTGACTGTACATAAAACTACTGAACTGTACACTTAGAAATAGTTACAATAGTAAATTTTATGTTGTATATTTTACCACAATGAAATGTTTTAAATAAAATAGAATAAAATAAAATAAATCCCTTTAATTTCCCAGGAGTAGGTCGCTGTACTGAGAGATTTTCATCTGCGGAAAGTGACCTCAGGGAGCAACTTACTCAAAATCTTGCTATAATTGTAATTTAATTAAAGAAACTTTGAGGGACTTCCCAGGTGGTCCAGTGGTTAAGACTCCGCACTTCCAAGGCAGGGGGTGTGGGTTCGATCCCTGCTCGGGGAGCTAAGATCCCACATGACTCACGGCCAAAAAACCAAAACATAAAACAGAAGAAACTTTGAGAGCCTCCCCCAAAAAAGAAGCAATTGTGACAGAATTTGATCTTCACATTCATATTTGTCTTCATTTCGAATAAACACTGCATCAAAAGCTACCGTACTAGAACATGTTCCTTTAGCATGTTAAGATATTTTAAATTCATTTAAGTAACACTGTAGCACAGTATTCACTTAATAAAGTAGCAAAATATCATATAAAAATAAATGAAAGCTTTTATACACCCACTGAGAGGATTTACACACGTACAAACACTTGTAAGTGCTCTCTCCACAGTCTCCTTGTGGATTTTCCTTTCCTCACCTCTATGGTCAGCCCTAAGCATGACCTCAGGAGAGCACACAGAGCTGACCACTCAGGGCAGGGGAGGCCGATTCACAGTCTTATCAGAACACAGAAGAGAACCTGGGCTGGGAAAGTAACCTCTAGGTAGCATCTGCAAACACTGAGGACAGCTTATCTTGGTTTCCAGTTGTGGATGCCTGTGGCCCTTACAGGCCCAGGGTCAGGCACTGTTTTCAAAACTGGGACTCTTGGGAGGTATGTCACTGGGTGAGAAGTTCAGAATCTCCTCCAAGGAAGGGCCTTCATCCTCTGGAGCTATTTCAGACTCAAACATCTGCTGCGGCAAAGCATCCACGGTCTTGTACTCTGGGAGGAAGGAGAGGGGCACATGGGACCTGCCCGTGTGGGTCGGAGGGAAGCACCCAGCCCCGCAGAGCTCGGCTTTCCTGAAGGAGGGTCTCTGAGCCCACCCCACTGAGCTCCCCAGACCCCGCAGGCTCTGGAGACCAAGGAGAAGGTCCTCCTTGAAGGATGGGGGAGGATGGCCGCCTCTGGGGTGGCATGCCCACACACACACACACACACACACACACACACACACACACACACGCCATCTCTGCTGTGCTGTGTCTAAGTGTACCATATGGTGTCCCCACCAAAGGCCCAGCTGAGATTCAGACAGGTTTGGGTTTACTCAGTCAATCGTTAATTCATTGAGAATTAATAAAGTACTTAAACAGTTATTAAGGCCCGCATGTCCCGGGCACATGGTGAGGCCCTTGGGAACACAATGGAGAACAAAAAAGACATGGCCCCGCACATGTGGAGCTTCAAGTCTGCAGGGAAGACAGACGGTGACCAGACAGTCACTCAGTGATCAATGTACAGCTGACAGGTGCTGAAAGGCAGGGAAGGAGAGCTGGGGGGAGGGGGTGGGGTGGGGTGCACAGGAGCACCTGACTTCTCGGGGAGCCCGGAGGGCTTCCCTGAGGAAGTGCTGCCTGAGCAGAGGCCTGCAGGAGGAAGAGCCTTGATTTTGCAAGGTGAGGTGAGAGTAAGGGGAGAAAGCAGCATGTGCAAAGGCCCTGTGGCAGGATGGAGCAGGGGAGCCAAAGAAGTAAAGGGACAGCAGGGCTAAAGGGCAGAGGCATGGGGGGTCCTGGGGGAAGGACGACGGGCTGAGGTATTGAGGGAACCATGCATGTGGCCCCTAGAGGCCACGGCAGGTGCCCTTGAGACACGGGAAGCCCCTGAAGGTCAGATTTGCACCCTGGAAACATCTCACTGACTGCTGTGAGGAGGATGGATTGGAGGAAGTTTCAAGTTGGGTTAAAACTTACTTTTTGATGCAATTCTAAAGTACAGTCCTTTCAAGGCCCTCCTTTTGTTGTCTCCATCGTCCCCACTGAAGCCACTGTCCTTGGCGTCCACATTGTCAATGAGCTTCCCATCCTGCACTTCTTCCCTTCGGGGAGGAAGAGATGGTGTGAGCACAGCCGGGTCCCTCAGCTGAGTTCCCCTCTGTCCTCCCAGCCATGGCCCCATGTCACCCATGTAGCCAGCAAGGGTCCCTGAGAACTGGCACCCAGGACCAGGCTGGCTGCCATGGGGTCTCGGGGGTTAAATGTGATCAGGACCCACCCCGCCATGAACATCCTGCTTCCAAAGTCCATGAGCCGCGTCGGGAAATGCTACTCACTCTTGGACCCCAACTCCAAGCTCTTGAATCTTCTTCTCAATGGCAGTTTCCACTTCACTTTTTTCTAATGAATATGCCACAAAAAACGCTTCCAAGATGAACGCTATGAAAATACTGAGAAAAAGTAAAAGGCAGAGGGTTTTACATCGAGTCAGCCATGGTCTAGGTGATGGGAAATCATAGCTCCAAAGAGTGTTCAAGCCCAAATAAAAAGGCCGCCCATCTTTGCAAAGAAAACACAACATGAGGAAGAAACAACAAAATGTCTCTCAAGCATCAGGCACAACTTTCTTTCATTCGGAAAATCATTCTTCCTCTACATCGTTTTTAAACAGTGACTATTAAGAAGAAAATAGAGGGGGTGGGGTTCTGATTCACAATTTTTAAAGGTTTCCTCCATTTATAGTTATTGTAAAATATTGGTTATATTCCCGGTGCTGTACAATATATCCTTGCAGCTTATTTTATACCTAACAGTTTGTACCTCTTAATCCCCTCCCCCTATATTGCGAAAATATGGAATGCCTCACCAATTTGCATGTCATCCTTGTACAGGGGCCACATTAATCTTCTCTGTACAGTTTTAGTGTATGTGCTACCAAAGTGAGCTTGAAAATACAGTTTATTTTAAGGGGAAGCTTAGGCCACATAATTGTTGGTAGACAATTCTCCATGAATATCTTGTATTAATGCACAGTCTAGGTCCTCTGAGCAAAGGCACTGACAGCCAATTTAGGGATATATAGGGCTGGCCCAAAAAGATCGTTCGGGTGGTCTGTGACATGGAAAAACCCAAACGAACTTTTTGGTCCACACGATATGTGTGTCTCCAGATATGCTCCACAATAGTAAAGCTTACTGTTACTTACTGTCTCCTCCCCAGCGACCACTAGGGTAACAAAGACTTCATTTTGCCCTCCCCGGAGACTTGCTTACATTCAAGAGTAAAAATAAGGTCTTTCTCTTTTTCTCTCTCTTTCCAGAGGGGAGGATGGGCAGGTCTCCCCAGCTACACAGACCGGGGTTTCCTCATTTTGGAGTTCCTCTCCTGCAATGCAGCCCATCCAACTGGCCCTCACCTCCTGATGCAGTGGGGATTAGGGCTCAGGGAGCTGCCCCAAGTATCGCTCTGGCGGCAGCTTCTGCCATGAGGAATAAACTATCTTTGTCTCGGACCCAAGGCATCACACTTTGTCAGTATATACACATGATGTACACGCACACTGACCTGCGACTTGTGAGTAGGGAATCCCAGTTCCTTCACCACTTCTGACCTAACATGATGCTGACGGAGCCCAGGGATGTCACCATACTCGCATGCTTTGGGGGGAAGAGCTGAAAAACCCCTACAGCTTTTCCCGTTGCCTCGGCCTATCCCAGCATTCTGGAAACCTCTCTAAGAATCACTCAGAAGCATTCCTCTCTCGTTCCCACTACATATTCCATTCAGACGGTGCAGGACAAGCAGCCCTGAGCAGTTCTTCCCCTCCCCTCCCTCTGCTGGGACGTTCTTGAGCCAAAATCAACAGGATGGTGGCCAAAGCAGCTCTGATATGATAAGGAAGGCCCGGGCCTGGGCTGTCACCCCAAGAATTGTGGGCCCCGGGCTCTAAGAGGGATACGACAACCAGAAAACATCTCTCGGGGGGGAAGAAAAACAGGGATAAAGGGACTCAAATTCAGGTCCCACAAGGAACAGGGGAGCTAGAATCAGAGATTGATAAGCAGGAAGGAAAGCCCTCTGGAATGGTGAGATGTCATAGCAGCTTTCAAACGGTGCCTGAGTTTTCCCCGGAAGAGAAGTCAGGACAGAACTGGAACCAATGAAGAAAATTAACCAGTAAGCACATTTCCATTCTACCTGTGCAAGGACAGGTGAGGACCAGAGCTGGATGACAAGGAAATTCACTCGTATAGGTTCTAATGAGTCCCAGGAGTTGTGCAGATTTCAGCAAAGGGTGGACACAATTCACAAGGATGTTCTAAAGGTGATTTATCCCACCGGCGAAGGTTAGGGAGACCGGCCAGGACCCCAGAGCCCTTCTGACCCAAACAATTGGCGAGGCTATGAGATGTATACTATATACTGACGTGCACGGCTGGCTGACACTGAAGAACACAGACGTGAACAAAAGTAAGATGCCTCCCTTCTGGTGCCTTAGCATCTAGCAGGGGAGATGGGACCCACCCACAATGTACTCAAGGGTGGCGCCAGGGAGGAGGGAGGTGCGAGCAGCTGTAGATCTGAGAGGGGGGATCTGGAATGGCCCACCCGGCAGGAGCAAACTCACTTAACAATGAGGATGACGACCACGACGTGGAAGCCGATGAAATACAGCTTTGACGCCTGGTGAGTCACGAGGGCAAAGCCATCTGCGAGGAGTGGGAAGCTAAGGAAACAAGCGTTCAAGGAGCCGAGACCTAATCTTCCCGGAAGGTGCTCGCAGCATCCCCCGCCACACCCGCCTCCTCGGAAAGGATATCGTGCCACTGGTTAACCACGGTGAGCTCTGTCAGCAGGATGAGAGAAGCAGCCAGGTCATTGAAGTTGTTCCTGCAGTACCTGCCTCGGGCAAACGCTGAGTCTTTTAGGGCTGGGTTCCCACACACCAGGGCATCAGGACTGGTGGAACTGGGGTCAAAGAAGTGGACTTTGCCGTGGAACACTTCCATCCCGACGATGGCAAACATGTAGTAGACCACCTAGGGCGGGCGGCACCGGGCACGAGTGGGCAGGTGGGATGAGGGGAGGCAGGAGGACGCAGACACGGGTCAGCCTGTGACAACGGCCGGCAGAAAGGGCTGCGACCCTCATTCTGGGGATGGCTTTCCCCACGGCCACAAGTTCCAGCAGCATCAGGAACAGGGTGGGATGGGTCAGCCCACTGGCCACTGGGCTGTTCAGGGACAGGGGGCACGGCCAGCTGGACCACACCTTGACCTCTGCTGTGGTCTCAGTTTACAAAGACAAAATGATGCTGTTAGCAAATTAGTGGGTTAAATACTCAATAAATAATATCAATAGTTAGACCTCTAGAGAAAAAAATAATAAATTTGGATCTTTACTTCATTTGTTTTGTTGTTTTTTGTTTTTTTGGAATTTTTTGGCTGTGCCACGTGGCATATAGGATCTTAGTGCCCCGACCAGGGATCAAACCCATGCCCCCCGCAGTGGAAGCGTGGAGTCTTAACCACTGGACTGCCAGGGAAGTCCCGTTTACCTCGTTTCTTATATCAAAATAAATTCCAAAGGTGTCAAAGAGTTAAATGTAAAAACCAAACTATAAAGGAGCTAGGAAAAAAATCAAGTAGAGAAAAGCCTTATAAGCATGATATAAAACTGTAAAATAAAACATCAACGTAATTAATTTAAACTTTCAGACAGCCGAAAAAATACAACAGAAAGCCTTTATTTAGGAAAAACGAAAACAAACAAGTGATGGATGAGGAAAAATAACTACTCTGTATACAACATACCAAGGGCTTATTTCCCTGATCGGCAAAACGCTCCTTCAAATCATATAAAAAAAATACAACTAATAGAAAAATGGACCAAGGATATGAATTAAGCTGCTTATAAAAAAAAACAAGCATAAGTGGCCCAAAGAACATGGAAAACACACTCAGCCTCTGGAATAACTAAAGAAATGCACATCAAAGGGACACAGTGCCATTTTCTCACCCATCAGATTGGAGAGTATGGAAATGTTTAATAAACCCAGCTGTGAGGGGTGCAGAGAAACAGATGCCGCACACCCTGGCATTTGGAATACACAGGGAGCACATCTTTTGGAAGGCAGTTCGCCACCACTGATCCAAACTGTGGACACATTTACCTTGTGACCTAGCAGTCCCACTGCTAGGAATGTACCCAACAGAAACACTCACGAAAGCAAAGACACACACAAGATGGGCTTCACCCCATCATCTGTGATGGCAAAGAAGTGAAATCTCTAGTGGTCCCTCAGTGGGACACTTTTCATCAGAGCAGAACTCACATGGGTGCATGTGTCCTCCAGGACATGGGACAAAGACATTGGGAAGACATTGGATAGAAAAAAGTTGTGCAATGTTTGGTACAGATGATCCCATTTGACACAACAATAAACTGGATACACACACATCTGGAAATGACATGCCTGTTGTATGGATGGAAATGTTTAGGAAGCGTAACGAGAAGCTCTTAATAATGGTTGCCTCTGGGAAAGAGGCACGTGGTGGATGAGAATGCGCGACCTGCAGTCCAGCTTTCATTCTTCTGTACTAATTGAATTGTTTCGTTTTGTTTTTTTACCACTTTAACAGAATAGAAAATAAGTACCCAGTATCAGATATTCAAGCTTCCTCACCCATAGCATGGAATCACTCCTCGGTGGGGGGCCCAGTCCCCTCACAGCCTTGCGTGGCTACGTTCTTACCACTGGGCTTCTGGAGGAGCAGGTGGGCTTTCTTCTGAGCAGAACAAAGAAGGATCTGAGGCCAGGGCGGCAGAGCCATGCTCTGGAAGGAGCCTACACCCCTGAGACCCACCTGTTGGCTAGGAATACCCCCCTGGACCGTGGGTGAGAAACACACTTTGACGAGATGAACCCACTGAGGTTGGGTTTATTACAGCAGCCAGTGTACCTGGACGGCTATATGCCCCATGTTTCTACACACTTGATATTTCTAAAAATAGCTCCTAGGAACCCCTTGAATCTCATTGACTTCATCTCCCTTTCTTTCCCTCACTTAAAATAAGGCTCACAGAGACCTGCTAAGAGTGAACATCTTATCGCTTGCTTCACATACAATAGGAACAGAACACTCACCAAGACCAGACCGCCAAACGTCAGCATCGTGGGGCCGATGTTAATTAAGGTGGTCACGATCACCCGGAATCTGGGATAAAACAAAGTTTCGGACACAAGGCAAAGGGAAGATGTAAGTAAAACTGACACCACACTAGCATGTTTGGTTTAATGCCCCTCCCCCCAGTCCTGGATCTGTGCTGTAAATGCTGTCAGGAATCTGCCTTTACAATTTTGTCAGCATCAGTCCATCTGCTGAACTGAGGGGGGAGTTAACTTGAGTTTCCCCTGAAGCAAAACAAAGCAAGACCGTTTTTAAAAACATAAGAGAGGTAATCCCAGAGAGTTTCCCTAGTAGGACACAGGTGGGTATTGAGGCTGAAAAACCATCCACCTTCATCTGCTTTCTTCCCCCAACCTTTTTCTTCATCAAAAATTCAGCCCGGGGCTCCCCTGGTGGCGCAGTGGCGGAGAGTCCGCCTGCCGATGCAGGGGACGCGGGTTCGTGCCCCGGTCCGGGAAGATCCCACGTGCCGCGGAGCGGCTGGGCCCGTGAGCCATGGCCGCTGAGCCTGTGCGTCCGGAGCCTGTGCTCCGCAACGGGAGAGGCCACAACAGTGAGAGGCCCGCGTACCGCAAAAAAAAAAAAAAAATTCAGCCTGTATTAAAGCTGACCTGGAGACTTAGCTGACCCGGCCTGCTCCCCTACTTATTTTGTGGGGGAGCATGCCAGTCCTCAGATGGAGGCACCCCACACACTCCTTGAAAGGAACCTGGCCTATCCAAAACAGGGTGGGTTTTTCCGGGTTTAGGGATCAGACTC